GTCTTCCAACTCACCCGGGGTGCAGGTGCGAGTGCCTGGATTTGGGCAGACCTATTCCATTGAATATCTTGACTATAACAGACTGGCTGGTGAGAAAAATACATCTGTGTTGGTAAACTGGTAAATTTGGGGGACTAGTTTCTGACATCTTTTAATGTATTTCTACAATGAGTAACAGAGAAATGTTTAATGGTCACGAAGGCAAAAATATAAAGGAACATGTAGCCCAGTGCTTTATTTCCATACTAGATTTGGACTCTTAAACTGACTGAGTCTGCTGCTGTTCTCTGAAGGTTACTTTTACACCATGGTGGAACATCTGGTCAACGTGGGCTACATCCGAAACGAGACCGTCCGCGGAGCACCGTATGATTGGAGAGTAGCTCCTAGTAAGTCTGGAAACTGTACACTCCTCTTCAGTGTCACTGGTTAATAATAGAGCCTTTTGCAGATTATACCCGGCACACATTTAATAACTGTATTATTTTTATGTTAAGAGAGAAAGCATGGTGCTTTGCATGTGTTTGCTTATGAGTATACAAAAGAAGTTTGCTGAGCACCTCAGCTTATGCTGTTTTTTTTTTTTTTTTTACTAATTATGCCACGCAGGGGCATCAATGATAACAATCTGCATTATTAAAGAAGATTAACTTATGCTTTTATTTAATTATATACTAAAGTCACGTTACTTTTTTTTAATACAATAGGAGCGATTTTCAGATGTGCTTCCTAGTATAGTACAGATAATTGTGGTAATTACTTTGACTTTTAATGTCTCCCAACTTCTGAGAAGAAAAGTCTTCACTAGCCACTTTAACAACTATATACTTCACTATGTTCTTGTTGCTGACTTTAGTGCTGGAAGGGTGAGTTTGTTATGTCGGTGGGAGAAGCTGGATTGAACCAAGCGATAAAGTTGTCAGTCGAGAATAATAGTATATGCTGATGCTACAGTATTGTACACCCCATGATTTGGTAGCGTGTAGCAACAATAACTTCAACTTGTTTTCTGTGTGACTTTGTTAGATTCTTACATCGTTGTAGAGGAAGTTTGGCGCACTCTTCACATTATAACAACTCTTCTTGACGTTTTTGGGCAATTGTTTTTGATGTCCTGCCACATTTTAATCAGGTTGAAGTCAGACAAATGGCTTCACATTTGACTCTAGAATACTTCTATATATAGAGTTCATGGTTGAGCCAACTACTGAAAGGTACCCAGGTGCTATGGCTGCAAAACAAGTCCAAATCATCACCTCTCCACCACCACTGGATTCAGTTGAAAACATTTGATACGAGGGATTTGTGCTGCTATGTTGTATTTGGTTTATGCTACATGCGATGCTGTGCATTATGGTCCATATCTCCACTTTGGTCTTATTTGTCTAACGGACATTGTTCCTGAGGTCTTTGCTCAGATGGAACTTTGCAAACCTAAAAAGAGGCTTTCTGTTGGCAATCAAGCCAAACTTGAACAGCCTTTTTTTTAACATGCTGACTGAGACCTGTAGAGTCTGAGATGTAGCTCTTGGGGTAAATTTGCTGGCATGTAGATATCATGAATGTTTTCGTCTTCTCGCTGTACAATGATGGACTTCAGACTGTATGGAAATGGCCTTATTGATTATTGCTGATATTGTCATTGTGTTAACACATATCTGAATGCTGCAGACCATCAAACTGCCAAAATCTCAATAATCAAATGCTCTGATTAGCAGCACCTGGCTGCTACTTATCCTATTAATTCCACTGGAAGTAAAAGGAGTGTATTTTGTTTTTCACACACTGCTTCTGCATGTTGGTTTAGCTTTTTAACAATATATATTGACATAGTGTAGCATATCACGGGTTGCTTTTCATCTGAGGTTGCAGTTACCTCATTTTAATACCTGCTAAGGACCACGTGATTTTTATTTACCAGCTGGTTCTTAGAGCTAACCCTAGAGAGAGGAGTGGATTTTCTTTTAGGACACCAAAACTCTAAAACAAACTCACTAGTTTTTATTCACACTGACTATGAGTAAATTTGGTGTTGCATGTCCTGATTGTGGCAGCAGGTTATCAAGTTATTTTGACCAGATGCGACCAAATCGTAATTACACTACATAATGACGTTTGATGTGCACCTCTTAAAGTTCTTGCTGTGAGCCTGTAACGTTTTTATTTCCCTTCGTCCCCCCACAGATGAGAATGCAGAGTACTTAGCAAAGCTGCAAAACCTGGTTGAGGAGATGTACAACCAGTACCAGGAGCCTGTCTACCTGCTGGGACACAGCATGGGATGCCACTACGTCCTCTACTTCCTCAACCAGCAGCCTCAAGCCTGGAAGGACAAATACATCAGAGGCTTCATTTCTCTAGGAGCGCCATGGGGGGGTGCAGTAAAAGTACTCAGGGTCCTGGCTTCAGGTAATGATAAGAACGCACAGAACAGAATACAGATGGAGGGGCTAGAAAGCGGTGTGAACCTGAAACTCTTTACAGGAGTAAACGATGGCCTCTCGATGATTTCGAACCTAAAGATTCGGGAGGAGCAGAGGATGGTAACCACCAATGCGTGGATGCTTCCTGTAGACGGCATCTGGCCAAGTGACCACGTATTCATCTCCACGCCGACCTTTAACTACACTACAAAGGACTACCAACGGTTTTTCAAAGACATTGATAATGAGGAGGGCTGGTAAGAAACAGTTTGGTTGG